TTTTTTTTTTTTTTTTTTTTTTTTTTGGTACCGGGGATCGAACACGGGTCCTTGCGCTTGCGAGGCAGGCGGCGGCACTCACCGAGCATCCCGGCCCTCTTATTATTATTTTGAGACAGAGTCTCTAAATCGCCCTTGCTGGGCTTGATCGTGTGATCTTTTCTTTATGAATCAGATGGCCTCTCTGGCAGACAGTTTATTGTTCCAGGTCTTCTATCCTAGGCTGGAGGTGTACCTCAGCCGTGCAGCGCTTGCTTAGCACGAGCAAGGCCCAAAGCCCGGGGTTAAATCCCCAGCACCTCCAGCCAAAAAAACTTCCTCCACAAAGCGTCTGTAAGCGCTGAGATCCCTGTGCAGGAGCCCGGGGAGGGACGGGCTCTAGGAGCTCCAGGCCCCGCCCACCTGGCAGATGGCGCATGCTCGGTGCTCCCCAGACCCCTGCCTACCCCGTAGGGGCTGGGAGAGCGCAGCCTGCAGCATTTCCGGGAGCGCTGCACGCGTGCAGACCTCCCGGACTGCACACTGAAGGGAAAGTGGATCGGCGGCAGCAAAGCCCGATGTTATCAGTCCACTGAGAGCTCCTGCACATTGATAAGAGCCAGAGGACCAAAGAGCAGAAACAGGGTTCAAGGAGGGGAGTCAACAAGCAGGAGCCGGGTACAGCGGCTGTCAGGGAGGGACCAAGCGCTCCCACTTGGGGCAGGCCAGGGCCAAGAGGAAGTAGGCACAGCTTTTCTCCAGAAAGGTAGCTGGGGAGGCTGGGGGGTATGGGGATAGAAAGGCCCAGGGTCACCAGGCAGAATCCTCCAGTTGTCAGGAGAGAGAAAATGCCCTTTTGAGGCTGGAAAGGGGAAGTAGAAAGTGGCTGTGAGCAGCCAGGCTTTCTGGCGTATGCCTGTAATCCCAGCATTTGTGAGGCTGAGGCAGGAGGATCACTGTGTTTGAGGCCAGCCTGGGCTGCATAGCAAGGCCCATTGGAGACAGGGCCTCGCTGTGCAGCCCAGGCTGGCTCTGAACTCATGGAGATCCTCCTCCCTCAGCCTCCACATTGCCAGGATTACAGGCGTGCTCTACCATTCCCAGCTGCCTGCTATTTGTTTTCTGGTGCTGGAGAGCAAACCCAGAGCTTCTGGCATGCTAAGCATGAGCTCTATCACTGAGCTACACCTCCAGCCCCAAGCCTACTGCTTTATCTACTTCTGTTCCCTCTACCTAGACTCCTCTCACCCAGCCCAACCCTCTGTCCTTCCAGAACTAAACTCACACATCACCTCCCCCAAGAAGTGTGTTGGTACCAGGAATTGAACTCATGATCTTGCACCTGCAAAGCAGGTGTGGTGCCTCTGAGCTAAATCCCTGGCCCTGGAGGCCCTCATCTTTTTTTAGTTCTGGTTTGTTTTTTGGGGTGTTTTGGTTTTGGTTTTGGTACCAGGGATTGAACTTGGGACTCTGTGCTTTTGAGGCAGGTGGCAAGGTCCTCATCTTTTAACTGCATAACAAGACTCTGTCTCAGAAAAACCAAAAAGAATTTTAAA